AGCGGACTTGGTTTTTGGTAACCTGAGCAATAAGTTGGAACTGTTCGCCCGTTTATCATTGACACCCTAGTTACCTCTTGGCTGTAAAATAACTAGTATGTTGATTTTTGTACCAAATAATATCCCTTTCTATCTCCTCAAATCTTCTTGAGACTTCATATTCCAGTGTTCTTTGTGTTAAATGTTTTTGTGTCGTAGCCGCTCACGGTGCTCCTCCTCGCCCCCTTGTTCTAGCAGGATATGTTTTTTCCAGGGACTTTTTTTAGTTGCATTTGTTTGTGTATAATATATGGTGGTACATATTCTGTACGATATATATTTGCATGCGGTTGCTAGTAGGCATAAAGGAATCTCTTCACCAAACCCATCCATGGACTTTCTCACACATATTTGGAAGGTTGTCAGCATCATTGCTTAGCTTTCTGATCAAGAATCATTGCCAAGGAGGCCCCAATATATTTTCATCATTATCCTAAAAGGTCCAAAAATTGATTCTCCTAAAAGAAGACAATATTATTATTTACCTTTTTTGCGAAATAATATTATTATTTACCTTTCGTTTGGATAATATATATGGACAAATATCACAACTCAAAGAATACTACACATTTGTACATCAAATCAAATCAAGTGCCTTTGATTTTTGAGAAGTTAAAGTGTGGTGATCTGTAGTAGTACGTGTATACCAGTATTTTTGAGAAGTTGAAGTGTGGTTAGCAAGATCACAATTCACACAGTATATACATGTACGTTTTTTCCTTGTCAATGCACGAGAAGACACGGATAAACAATTCGTGGTTGTTACTTCGTCATAACGAACTGACACCTACTACAAGCGGGCACGGTACGCTTTATTCGTCGTTCGTACGATCGATTTCGTACCAAAGATACCACTCGAAGAAAGACGAGTGCACTGCATGCAGTGCCCTGAAATAAAATATGCATGCATGCGTGATGCGGCCGCGGAAGGAGCGAAAACCCGCGCACGCTCATGACGCTGATGCGGCAGCTGCTCCATGCATCCAAAACCTTGAAACATAAGGTGCCGAAATAACGAAAAACGTGTGTGACGCACGGCACGAGTGCCGGAACAGTGTCTCGCTTAATTTGGCTCTCACGCATCAACTATATATGCCGTCGATACATTTTATATAAATTTGGCCAAACGTGAATAAGTTTAACTTAAAACAAACCTATAACTTCAGTATTTTGGAACATAGGAAATACTTGGTTATGGTGTCGATGTCGAACGTCAATTTGCCGACAAACCAACTATAATAGAACACCAAGCAAGGAAGGGCCAGAACGCAAGATTTGAAAGCATACGTGCAAACCGATTGACGCATCATGACACTCGTTGCGGTGCCCTTGTATCTGGCTCGGGGCTTCGCGCAAATCAACCGGCGCATCATGCTGCTCGCTGCGGCGCCCTGAGGGCTTCATGCAAATCAAGCGATGCATAAAAAATTCACAAAAATAAAGCAACCACCACATTGGCACCATAGCTTTCTTCTTCCTTTCGTCGGCGCCGCTGCCGGTCCGCCCCATCTCCGATGGACTTTGGGTCATGGAAGTGCGGAGGATCTCGCTGCTCCCCGCCGGCGGGACAGACCCCGTTTTTGTTCTTGTTAGGTTCAGTATCTTGGTTGGGGCTGTGTGGCGCCGGCGATGTCCCTCAGTAGAAATAATGTCTCCCATGTTCTATCCCCTTTTCGATGTTGCGTCTAGCGTCATCGGAAGGCTTGTGGAGGTGTGCCTCCGTCGGATCTCGTAGGATTCGGTCGGTGCTTGTCTTCGGTGCATCTATTTGGATCCGTTCTTCGGTGGATCTGTTTGGGTACGATCTTCGTTCGTCTTGGTTTGACTGTTTATAGGGTTGATGCTTTCAATCTATGACTTTTTTTTATCGGCGATGATTGCTGCTCTGGTGCGCTGGTCCTATAGGGTCTTAACACAACGACTTTTCGACTGTCTACTACAATAAGGTTTGTTCGGCTCCAGGGAGGGAGGGGCGGTGACGGCGGCGCGTTTTCGGCTCACTTCAATGCTTGCAGACGTCGCTAGGTGGTCCATGAACCTGGCTGTAATTTTTGTTATCTCTAGTGTTTTTTGTAGTATCATGATTGAAGATGAATGGATTAAAAGTTTCTCACACAAACTTTCTTTTATAACGCGAGGTGAAAGACTGTTTGGATAGAGATTATTTCGTGGGCAGCTCAATCAGCACCTCGCTTGGAATTAACGAACAAATTGAACCAGCACCTAAAAAGCGCGCCGCGACAGATGATTCGCACCAAAGGCACCAGCGAAAACGAGTGTTGCACCGTTGCAGCAGCGCAGTACGTCACGGTTGCGTTTGGGCTGCATGCATGCCGCATAAAGAACGTGTGAGATATTGAATTGAATGTTAAAAGCAGTGGTGCGCGCGTCGGCTGCCTGATCGACATCCGTCCGTCGTCCG